GGAGAAGAGGGTAGTGGCGGCGAGTTGCGCTCGAGGTTTAAAATCGTTCGCCACTCACTCTTTCGCCGGGCTTTTCGCAGACAAGACGCGGAGAAGAAGAAGAGTGTTTCTTGGTTTTGGAGGGCTTCTTTCGTTTATCGATTAATTAATTTTAATTTGTAATTAATTCTGAATTCCTATCTTCCGCTTTAGTTTTTGAGTAAGATTCAAATTTCAGTTCTGGTCCTTGCTTTCTCTCTAATTATGGTATAGATCCCTTACTTTCAAAATTTTCAATACTACCCTACATAATATCCAAGATACATCAATTGCTCCAAAATTTATAAATATGATTCCATATGGTTGAGATGTATCACATTAAATATAACTTAATTAATATTTTGTATCGATGTTGTGATTGAATTTCTCATGCTTGATTATTTTGATTCTCCATTTGGACCTCGAAACCAATGAGCATTTTACTAAAATGTATATTTTATTTTGTTTATAAATACCATATTGTTGTTCTCTTGATTTTTTATATATATATTTCCTTATTTTAGAAATTGTAAAAAATCCTTATACGAGTAATTGATATTATATCAAACTAACATGGATGGAAATATCAAAAATACTAAAAATGGAAAAAATTAGTAAAACTGTTAAGAATAAGAATTACCATATTGATGATCTGTAACATTTTTTATTTCCATTATTTTCTTTTCCTTTCCCTATTTCTTTACTTGTGTTTTTTTTTTTTCTGGATGTTTACTTCCAATTTTTCATATATATTCATATATTATTGATTGAAAGCTATATTCAGATTCCAAAACCTACCATTTTGGAGAGAGAAACATCGACCAAATTCCTCTTCTCAATTTCCACCCTAACTTTTTACCTTTCCTTCTGTATTTCACCCCACCGTTTTCCAATTTACATAAAAACCCCACCTTTTAATCACATTACCATTCCTGTCCTAAACTTGGATTTCTTTAGGTTTTCCTTCCATAATTATGCATTTTTAAAGAAGAAATTCTCTCAGGTGCAGAAACCGAGATCCCATTATCTTGGTTGTGATATGATCGAATCTAAATATAAACCCTAAACAAAACGACTCACAAAACAAAAACAAAGAGGGTGAAAAAAAATTTCCTCTTTATTTATTTTTTTGCTTTGCATTATTTTCCCTTACCAGCATCTTCTCGTCTCCTCCGTATTCTGGGTTCCTTTTTTTCCCGATTATCGTCTTATCATCGCTGCGAAGTTCGAGAATTGGAGTTGTTGCGAAAATTTTAATTCCCAATTCAAGGATTTTGCTTTGTCTCTCTGGATTCATTCTGGTGAGTTTTCTGATTTTAATTTTTCTACAATGACTAATTGCCGGATTACATGGGTGTTTTCCTGATGTGGGTATTCGGCTTTTAGCTGTTTGTCGTTCTGGGTTTTGAGTTATGGTCGTTGAGCTTTCGACATCCCTTGATTTTTATAAAGTTCTGTAACATTGTGGTTGATGTCTGGAAATGTATGTCTCGATCTTAGAAATTGGGTTTTAGTTTTAGTTTTGGTTTTGGTTTTTGTTTTGTCGAGTTACCGGAGATGAATCGGCTCAGGAGATGAATGGTGGAATGGGTACTGTTCTAAACTAAATGCTTATTCAAATTCGAAAGACTTCATTTTGGTTTCGAAGAGTAGACTTTTCTGAAAATTTGTGGCCTTTTTTGGCCAATTCCAATATTAATCCTACTTTTGATTTATATATATGTCTCTGATTCTGTTTTTCTGTGAATGCATAATCAATCTGAAGAGAATATGAATTGTTCCTAGGCTAATTTGGTTTTGTAGTTTTGCTGCCTTAGTGGTTGAAGTCAAGCGTCTTCCTTGGTTTTGAATTTCATTAGGTGGGCTTTCATTAACGTAATGGTTTGTTATGCATGTTTACTGGTGTTGCTCTTTAAATGCAAAGAGGAAGTCGAAGAGGAATAACTTAGAAGATAACTTTTTATATATGAAGGTGCTTCTTTTAGCAGCTGATTGGAGGCAGCCCTTTGCTTTGCTGAATGTTTGGTCCAAATATGGATTCTATGCGTGAAGCTGGTGGTGATGCCACTAGCTCAGTGGTGATACCGGTGCCATTCGTCTGGCGCCATGGTGGAAGAACCATATATCTGACTGGCTCTTTCACAAGGTGAGTATTATCAAGGGACTCCTTAGCAATAATGATGGCTTTGATTACAATTTCTTGTCTTTGTTCTAGTTTTTTGGCCTGATGGTGCTGTCAAGGATTGGTTTAATTGATGGGTGTTTTTTTCTTTGTAGGTGGTCCGAGGTTGTTCCCATGTCTCAGGTTGAAGGTTGTCCCAATGTGTTTCAGGTTATCTGCAACCTAGTTCCCGGATATCACCAGGTTAGTCTCTGGGTGCCACAGTGAAGCCGTCTTTTTCCTGAACATTCAACAACTGCAGACATTAGATTCTTGTTTCTTCCAGTAAGCTATCAGGAAAATGGTGGTCATAGTTTGTTATTGTTGTAATAAATCTGAAGTTACCATACCTCTGATTTTGCGTGAGGATGTGCAAGAATAAAATTGTGCAAATTTCTGAGCCGGGAAAAAAGTAATATTGCTCATGGAACCTTTTTTAACAAGTTCTCTCGCTGTAGATTCTAACATGGTCACATTCTCTAATCTGAAATTAAGTTTCAAAGTCATGTCTTGAATAGAGGTTCCTATTGGGATGATCTGCCTTTTATCGATTCTGTAGCCTTATCCTCTTGTAATTGCACCTTTTTTTAAAATCTGCAGTACAAGTTTCTAGTTGATGGAGAATGGAGACATGATGAACACCTGCCTTGTACAAACAGCGAATATGGAATAGTGAACACTCTCGTCGCTTCCGGGCCTAGTTATGCAATGCATCCGCAAATGCTTTCTGGATCTAATATGGATGTGGACCCAAAGGCCTTCCGTGAAATGGTAAGGGTTTATTCATGTTGGACATTGCTTTCCTGGCCAGCAAATCCTACTATATCTTTCATTCTCATGTTGTTCTCTCTGCATTGGGGATTAGGTATCTAATTACTGCAAACTTAATGTTTATAATTATGGTTTTAACCATTTACTATATTGAAGGTTCAAGCTATTCTCTTTTTCCCTCGCCATTGTAGCTTGCTTGATATTGACATCGTTTCTAGCTGATTTTCCTTATCTTATCTCCTCGGTGTTGCCTACTGCATATTCATGTGCATAATGCATATCCAATAAAGATTCTGTTGGGACGCACTAATCATGCTCGTCTTTCCACAATTTTTTTTTATCCTTTTTTCCTTCTGAGGGACGCTGCAATCAATTTCTTTTTTCTTATTATCCTTCAGGTTAGGGTTGCTGAGGTTCCACCTACTCATATGATGACAGGAACATCAGAGGAGGATTTGTGTGTTTCCCGCCAACGAATATCTGAATACTTGTCTGGGAATACTGTTTATGAGTTACTTCCAGAGTCAGGAAAGGTTTGGAGGCATTATTTTGCCTTTTGTTCTTTCCTTTTTATCCTTCTTTGAGCAATGCTTAGAACATTCCCTCTGCTCTTCCCCTCTTCTAAAAAGAACAGACTGAACCGAGGTGACCACTACTCTCTTAAAGTTTAATAGTGAATGTAATTTACAGGTTGTCGCATTGGATGTTAATTTACCGGTAAAACAAGCATTTCACATCCTGCATGGACAGGTATCTGAACTCTTAGATTTAGTCGATATGTAACATTTTTGTGCCTTTCTTTCCTCTTCATGTATTTGTTCTGCACACTTATATGGCAGTAACTAGAGGCAAATATGGTAATCTAGCGCTTTGCTTCACTGTGGTGTTACTTTTTAGTGGCTGTTAGTTTCAGTAGATTAATGGCCGTTAGATATCTTAGTTAGAGAAGTTTTCTGGATCGATGTTGTTTCATATATCTTATTTTGTTTCAGTAATGAGACTTCTGAGAACATCCATCTTGATAGTAGGATCTTGGATATGCAACTTTTCTGAGTTGAACTATTTTCAGGGTATTTCCACGGCTCCTCTTTGGGATTTCAGCAAGGGGAACTTTGTCGGAGTTCTTAGTGCACTTGATTTTATTTTGATTCTTAGAGAGGTACAACTCATCCTGTATGGTTTCCCGATTCATTGTGGCCGGTGATTCCATTTAACCTTACACATTTACTTCATGCATAAAATTTGTCTCCAACACTAGAAGAATTTGAACATTAAGTAATGTGTTGGTAAAGAGCATGTGTTGCCATTTGCAGTTGAATAGCATTCTAAGTTCTAACTCTGCCAAAATGTTACTGTTAGTTTAGGCATGGATTTGCTTTTCACCAGAACTAAAACCAATAAAACGGTTGGAAAAACTCTGGCTTTTAATGTTACGAGATATTTCTTTTTAATTTTGCGGTGTCTTTGTAGCCTTTATGGTTCATCTCAATTAAAGCAGCTCGGTCATCTTGTATATGCAGCTCGGGAACCATGGTACAAATTTGACTGAGGAGGAGCTTGAGACGCACACCATATCTGCCTGGAAAGAAGGAAAAGCGTATCTTAACAGGCAGTCTGATGGGCATGCTAGAACAGTCACGAGAAATCTCATTTATGTGAGCTATTTTCTGACATCTGTCCATAACCTATTTTTGCCCGCAATAATAATTTTTTGGATGCTTATTATGGTTATTATCTTTTTTTGGTTTTGATAACGTTTTTTGTTCTTCTACCTTGATCCTAACTCTTTCATGGTTTTCTGATCATTTATCTGCAAGACAATGGTATAAGAAAGATTGTAGGTGGGGCATCCTCCCAATTTCCAGATTTTCTGAACAGATTTTACTTTCCTAAAGATAAGAGAATAACCTCTGATGCCAGTTGGGCTTTGCTCTTTGAATAAATCTCATTGATGAACTGCATCTAGATTATTTTCTGCACAATTCAATAATTGTGGTGCACACGACGATATAATAATTAGGATCCACTCTCAGCTAAACAGTTGTTGCGCATTGCAGGTAAAGCCGTATGATATTTTGAAGGATTTGGTATTAAAAATTTTGCAAAATGGGGTGGCAACAGTACCTGTCCTTCACTCTTCTTTAGAGGATGGTTCATTTCCTCAGCTATTACATCTTGCTACACTCTCGGGAGTACTCAAATGTAGGACTTATTTTTCTTCCTGATTACTGGCATCAATGGCTTCTTTTCCTTGTGTGAAAGAATTGGCTTGGCTTTCAATTTTTGCCAAAGGCTCAAGTTGATAACCAATGGCCCAATTTAATGATTGTCTTGAACTTTCAGATAACCATTGTTGGTAACTTGCAGGTATATGCAGATACTTTCGACATTGTTCTAGTTCATTGCCCATATTCCAACGACCAATATGTGCTTTACCTGTTGGGACATGGGTTCCAAAGATCGGGGAATCAAACGGACGTCCATTAGCAATGTTGAGACCCAATGCTTCTCTAAGTCAAGCACTAAATTTACTGATTCAAGGTATATATATATATATATATACTTTCTGCGCTTTAGAATAATAACATATTGATGATGTGTCGCCTAATAAATTAGCGAATGTTTCTAGATATTGATGATTAGTTTGGAAACGGACAACAGGTGTCGATTGATATTGCTCTACAACCATATTCTGCATCAATGAACAAAATGTGACAATTCCAGTATTAAGAATATCTTCTTCCCTTTTGCAGCTCAAGTTGGTGCAATTCCTATTGTTGATGACAATGACTCGTTACTTGATATCTATTGCCGGAGGTAAGTTTTTTTTTTTGCATTCAAGTAAACGAAATTTTGAGCTTATTGACATTGTGATTGATTTTCCTTTTTCCTGAAATCAAATTTGGCAGTGATATAACAACCTTGGTGAAGGACAAAGTTTACGCGCATATTAATCTTGGAGAGACCACCATTCAGCAGGTAACTGTTTTAACTGCTTCACACATCATGAGTCGTATGCAATTTATGTCTAGAAAAGAACTAGCAGGTTGGATTATATTTAATAAAGCCTTTTTTATGAATATTTTCTGTTTCTGCAAGTCGAGTAAGCACTTAATTCTTCTTTCTTCTTTTGTCATATATATATATATATTCTTCTTTCTTCTTTTGTCATATATATATATATATATATATATATATATATATATATTGCATGGGGAAAAAAGGCTTTGCAGTTGGTACAAGATTCTTATTATCCGTATGAGATGAGAAGTCAGAGGTGCCAAATGTGTTTACGGACCGACTCTTTGCATAAAGTAATGGAACGACTGGCAAATCCAGGTATATATCGCAGTTTCTTTTCTGGTAGCGGCATACTTACTAGCTTCCTGTAGATTAGAATGTCGGGTTTTCAGCGAAAATTTTTCTTCCCGATGGATCAGATTGTACAGCACGGGAAAAGTTTGTCTTTAAAACTTCGCCATGTTTTTTTATTTGTTCAAAAGACATACCTTGTGTCTTTAAGGCAGAACCCGAGCACAAGATCGGTGTCCATACTTGATCATCTCAAAAGGATTTTGAGCTTTTGCATCTCATCATTCAGATTTACTGTCAGATTGTCTTGAACTTTTTATTTCTTGTTCTATCTATGGAGTTAGTTCCTCTTTTTTCCTTATTCTTGGGAAGTTGGTTCTCCATTACTCCATCACTGAAACAACATGTTGAAAAATCAGACATTGACGGATTTTGTCATGGCTTCAGGCGTAAGACGGCTTGTTGTCGTGGAAGCAGGAAGTAAGCGAGTCGAAGGAATCATATCTCTCGGTGACATCTTCAGGTTCTTGCTGGGTTTTGCTTGAAGACCTTCTCATGGTCTGTGAGAAGGCTCATCATCCCCCTTTTTTCCCATGTTTCTTTCTTGAAGAAACACTCCCATAATCCTCTTTGCAGGATGACCCCGCTTGTTCTGATTTGTTCGAAATCAACCCCGCAATTTGATTTGGCCGGTTTTGTAATTTTTAGAACATTAGTAGTTAAGAGGGTTGGGGACAACAGGGGAAGCGTGTAAGTTATACGCGGAGGGTAATTTCATTGTTTAGATTCTTCCTTCTTTCTTTCTTCTACTGTTACTGTTATCATTACTGTAGAATGTAATATGTAAAATAGTCCATTGCTTTGTTGCTGAAGTTTGGGTCGAAAAGGAAAAGAAAATTGGAGGGTTGCTTCAATTGTCTTTTTTTTTTAATTATTTTTTCGAATAAAAGGTGTAAAAATCACGTCTCAAAGTTTTGAAAATTATTGTACCGAATATCAATAATTGAAATTTCAAATGTTACATGGTTTTTAACAAGAAAAAATACAATGTAAAATGACAATGTTACTACACTATGATTCACATCCATAATTAATGGTAAAAAAGTAAAAAAAAAAATAAAGGTTTTAAATGGTAATAATTTTTATTTTAAGTTTTTACTTTTATTTTTAGATTCGAAAAAAATAGAATTTTTTGTTTTTAATTGATTTTTTCAGTCTTCTAGTAAAACGAAATTTACAAAATTTTATATTGTTAATTTTTTTGAATTCTAAAAACTCTGAAATCTTCGTCTATTCAACCCAAATAGTATTTGACTTGGTTGGAATACTATAAGACTATCTCTTCTGCTTCCAAATCAAATCCGAAATCTTCGTCTATTCAACCCAAGTATCAACTCTATTCCATTTTTTTATCACATCTAAATTATTCAAAAATAATATTCTATTTGGTTTGTATATAAAAATTTATAAAAATTTGAAGAAAAATGTATATAAATTATATAATTATATAATTACAATAAAAATAATATTTATTTTAATTCATTATATTGTAATATTTAGAATTTATATAAATATTTATATAAATCACCCTTAATATAATAAATTTGTAGACAAATGATATAGTTAAAATTAATTATCAACGTGATAAATTTAAACAAATATATATATATATATATATATATATATATATATATATTTTATACAAATCTAAATATCTGAGATTTGACTTTTAAGAAATATATCCAAATCCAACATTGATTTGCCGAAACCAAGATAATGATGTTTTGGAAATTGAAAAGATGAGATGGAGTCCGGATAGCTCCAAGAATCCACCCACGCCCAGCCCCACCTTCAATCAGCCAGTCAGGTAGGGGAGTGATGATGAGATAGACGAGGTGATGGGACAGACCAACTTTTGAGGACGTGAAAAGGAGATGACATGCTATATCAACCTCCGCTTTATGTAATCACACACGTATATATATATATATATATATATATATATATATATATTTTATACAATTCTAAATATCACAATAAATTAAAAAAATTATTATTTAAATATATTATAAGCATTACAGTGATACATTTATATAAATATTACATTTTTTATTATGATATTTAGAATTGTACAATTTATATATTTTTGTTTAAAAATGAATAGTTAATGGTTTTTATGAGAAATTTAAAGTTAAAAATTCGGAGTATTGTTGTAAAGCAAAAATCTCATTGGATACCACCAATACTATACAAATCAGTTTTTTTAAACTAAAAAAATCATATTTTATAATGATTCTAAGAATCACAAATGAAATTAATACCATCAATAGTATATAAATGAAAAATAATTACGAATGAAAATCAGATTTTATAATGATTCTAATAATTACAAATGAAATTATTCCCATCAAAATACTATACAATTCAGATTTTGTAATTTTACTAGAGAATATTATTAAAGATTTTTTTATTTATCATGATAATGAATGATAATATTTATATACGTACAGGATAAGCTCGTGATATCTTATTTAATTAGTATAAAAATATATGAATGGAATAAAATCTAAATTAGAAATCATTACATAACATTCTAAAATATTCTTTCTATCTTCCTCATGCTTTTTTATTCATTTTATTAATTTATTTATACGTATTTTCTTTACAAAATATTCTTGAATATTCTTTCCTAATAACACAAAGATCAGTATTTATAGACAAAAAAGAAATTAAGTAAGATGAATTTTCCCTATTTTTATATATAAATACTGAATTTACAAAACATTCTCAAATATATTTCTTTCATAATAACACAAATGTCATTATTTATAACCAAAAATAAGGAAAATTAAGGTAAATTTTCTTTATTTTATAATTAAAAATCTTCATATATTTATCTAGTAACATGACGCTATGTCAAGATTTCAAAATTAGAACTTTCCTTATTTTTGTCTACAAATACTGAATTTTGTGTTCTAAGGCTATGCGGTGGTTTGAATATTAGAATTTTGTCATTAAAAAAAAAATGGGGAAAACCCTAGTAAGTATTATGATATTGCTGAGCGTGATGAGCGTGGTGTCGGCGCTGCCGCTATACAAACAATTCAACATCAGCATTCTGAATGATTTGGACCGCGGCGGTCCGTTGACGGTCCACTGCCGTGATCTTGCCGGAAGAGACGACAAGCCTTACGTCTTCCTCTACAAGAGATTGCAGACCTACGACTTGGACTTCTTCGTCAACCCCGACTTGATCTACCAGTGCGAGATTTGGATGGTACATGCACCCATTTTCTCTCTTTCATTTTGTTTTTTTTTTTTATATTTTATGTCATATATATTAATATTATATATTGTACTATATTCATCTATTTATTAGACCCTATTCGTCTCTTTTTGATTGGAGATTTCTGATTAAGCTCACGATCATTCATATATATATATATACACACAGAGTGCTAGACCTGCCTATAAATATATGGGATCATTTGTCCGTTCAACCAATTAAAATATTTTATTTTCTATATAAATTTTGTAAATTTTTAAATAAAATTATAAAATATCTCGTAAAATTAAGTTTACACCAAATTATGTATTTTTGTACGTTCGCCACTCTATATATATATAAATATATTCTAGTCTTATCAAGTTCACGATCTATATATATAAACACATTCTATTCTTTTCAAGATCACAATCATTCATATATATATATATATATATATATATATATATATAATTGATGTATGTCTGTGTGTATGTTGCAGCCGTCTACGGATCCAGAACAGTCATATCACCATGTGAGATGGAACGCATTCGTGGCGGACGACGCGTGGTTTAGGGGTCTTTGCGGAAGCGAGACGTCGAATCAGTGCAGATGGGCCGGCAAAAATGACGGAGTCTATGTCCGAGACAACCCCACCGGCCATTACAGGCTCATTTACAAGTGGGACGTTAACTTTGTAAAGCCCTAGTTCTTTCTTTCTCTTATGCTTATCCAAAAAAATAATTATTATTATTTATTGCTTTTGTAGTAAACAAACAGCCAATAATAAAACATATTATAACATTTATTTGTAGTTTCACTTCAAATTCTTCAAAACCATTAATACCGAAAATATATATCAAAAAACTCAAGAGCTGCACCTTACATTAAACTACAGGAATCGATGCATATATATATATATACATCGTCGACTTGGCCGATATCTCGATCGCCGCCAAGCGGACGATGGCTAACCGGCTTGACGGAGAGTGTCAAACGGCCGTCGAGGGTCAAACGGTCGTTAACGGAGAACTTGACGTGGTGGTTGCCGTGGGATAAATTATAAGTATTACAGTGACAACTTTATATAAATATTAAATTTTTAATTGTTATATTTAGAATCGTATAATTTATATATTATTGTTTAAAAACTGTTGGGCCTTTAAGGCCCATTGGCGGAAAAAGAGAACCCTCTTAATCAAAGAGAGGGTCTTGGCTCGTTGGAGAAAACGGCGCGTTTTGGACGAGGGTTAATGAAACCCTAATGTCTTCAGTTCTTCGAGAGACACACGGATGCACGGTGCTCGAGGGTGAGAGGAGAAAAGAGATCGCAGAGGCGATCGTGAGGAAGAGAGGAAGACAGCGGCGAAAGAGAAGTTTCCCGGTGACGACGAAGCTCGGACCGGTGGCGATCGCCAAAGGTTAGTCGCGGACAAGGTCGGTAAGTGCCTCGTGTCTCTTCTCTTGGTATTTCACGGTGAGCCTCCGACCTTGTGTGGATGGTCGCCGTGTTCTCTTCTTCGGTTGTTACCGTTCTGTTCTAGTGGATTCGTCGACGCCGTTCCGGCCGAGACGTAGGCCCGAGGTAACTCGGTAACCGAACTCGTTAAAAGTCTCCGGTGTTCTTTTTCGTTTCTTGCACGGACGTGAGTCGGAGAGAACGGTGAGGACTCGATACGCACTTCACAAAAACTAATAGTTACTGGTTTTTATGAGAAATTTAAAGTGAAAAAATTCGGAGTTTTGTCAAACCAAAAAATCTCAATTGATACCACCAATACTATACAAATCAGAATTTTTAAACTAAAAAATCAGATTTTATAATGATTCTAATAATCACATCAGGGCATATCTATAGGGGTTGGTTTTAGGCGTTTAAAGGGTCTGATCAGAGGGAAATTAGGTCTCTTTAGGCTTAGTTTAGATCTGATTAGGATGTAAAAGTCTAATCAGGAGTTGGTAAGTCAATAGGGTTGGCTTAGGTTTGATGATTAGGACTTTTAGGTGATTGACTAGGACTTAGAGTAACTAATCAGGGGTTGGTTAGGTCAATTAGGGTTGGCTTAGGTCTGATTAGGTTTTCTGGTCTAGTTTGGGCTTTTGGTTGTCTAACTAGGGCTATTAGGGTCTAGATAGCACTTGAGTAGGTCTGATTAGGACTTTGTGAGGGGCCGGGTATACTCGAGATTGTAGTACTGATTAGGACTTTGTTGGGGGCCATGTAGACTCGGTGTTATAGGTCTGATTAGACGTAATCAGGTCCGGTTAGCCTTAAGTTAGATCTGGTTAGACATAATCAGGTCTTAAGGTAGGTTATGTTTCAAGCCTAATAGGTCGGTTAGGCAAAATTATGCCTAGGGTAAGTCCAATCAGATTTGTGCGAAAGTCTAAGAGGTCGGTTAGGTAGAAATATACCTTGTGTTAAGTCCAATCAGGTCTGGTTTAGAGTGTTAAATTCGTTTAGGTAATATGTACCTAGGGAGATATCCGGTTAGACTTGGTTTAAAGTCCGTTAGATCGGATTTAGGTTGAGTGTCTAGGTTAAGTCCGGTCAGGTCGTGTTTTCTAGGTCTTGTAGGTCTGATTAGGTAGAGAAGTACCTAGGTTTAGGACCGATAGACTAGGGTTAGAGCGTGTTTAAGCACGGCTAGGTAGAAATATACCTAGGGTTAAGTCCTCTAGTGTTCGGTCTCATCCCTCGTGTCATGTTACATCACTTCTAGGGTGGGTAAGTCACTTCCGGGTTGAGTCGTTTTTTAGGCTCTGGTTATATCATCGTAGGATGATGGAGTTAGATTGTCTAACTCGGTATACCCCGAAAGGGGGTATGGAGGAAGGACTATGGGTCTCGGGCAAACCCGAGAAATCGGGTGCAGGAGAAGGCCAAGGACCAGGTGGAGTGAGTTGTTTCGCGGGTAGGTAGGGACACTACAAGAAGGTGTTGTAGGTCCCGGATGACGAGGTAGGAAGAGTCCGAGGTAGAAGGACGTTTTGACCTCGGAGGAGTAACCGAAGATGCTTCGGTTCTCGGTGGTAGGTCAGGAGGTGAGGTCTCCACATTTAGGTGGAGCTTCCTCGGGTAGGATGCTCAGGAGATGGTGTGAGCAGGGAGGTGTCGAGTTTTTTTTTTCACCGGGTAGTGTCGATGTAGGTTGGCGCTAGGACACTCCCTCTCGAGGTGGAGCACGTGCACTCACGTGTCTCTTATTCTCGGTGGAGCATCGTAGATGACTAGGAGAGTCTTCAGGGACAAAACCGTGGGACAATCTTAATTGGCAGGTTAGGATCTGAGGGTAGAAGTCGCATACTCATAGGTAGTGTAGACTCTACGGGGATCCTGAGCTAGGTATCTAGCGGGTTCGGTGGTATGGCTCAGGTTAGTCTCGGGGAAGTCGGGATAGACTTAGGAGACGGGTAGACGTCGGGTGTAATCCTCAGGTTAGCTAGCGGGTATAGTCTTGGACTTTACTAGGAGGGTTAGTTAGGCAGTCTAGAGAGTCATACAACCGAGGGTAGCGTTTGCCGGTCGGGCAACGCGTGGTAGGACTTCGGTTCGAGTCTTATCGGGGTAAACGTTCTAACATGTTTACCGAGTGTTTGAGGTATAGATAAGCAAGTCGGTGGCGGATAAGGCGACGAGGTCTGAGGGGTCATCGACGGGAGCTTCATCAGATTCAGAGCGACATATAACTATCTCCGGTACAACAGGTAAGTGAGGTAAGTCAGGTAAGTTTGTATTTAAATTCCGACGAAAGTCGAGGGATCGACGAAAGTCGATCGGTGCTGGAAACGGCGAATCCCACTAGCGCTGGTTTTTATTTCCGGTTTCTCTTTCTCCACCAAGGTGGAGATTGTTGGGCCTTTAAGGCCTATTGGCGGAAAAAGAGAACCCTCTTAATCAAAGAGAGGGTCTTGGCTCGTTGGAGAAAACGGCGCATTTTGGACGAGGGTTAATGAAACTCTGCCTAATGTCTTCAGTTCTTCGAGAGACACACGGATGCACGGTGCTCGAGGGTGAGAGGAGAAAAGAGATCGCAGAGGCGATCGTGAGGAAGAGAGGAAGATAGCGGCGGCGGAGGAGTTTCCCGGTGACGGCGAAGCTCGAACCGGTGGCGATCGCCAAAGGTGAGTCGCTGACAAGGTCGGTAAGTGCCTCGTGTCTCTTCTCTTGGTATTTCACGGTGAGCCTCCGACCTTGTGTGGATGGCCGCCGTGTTATCTTCTTCGATTGTTACCGTTCTGTTCTAGTGGATTCGCCATCCAACGCCGTTCCGGCCGAGACGTAGGCCCGAGGTAACTCGGTAACCGAACTTGTTAAAAGTCTCCGGTGTTCTTTTTCGTTTCTTGCACGGACGTGAGTCGGAGAGAACGGTGAGGACTCGATACGCACTTCACAAAAATTAATAGTTATTGATTTTTATGAGAAATTTAAAGTGAAAAAATTCGGAGTTTTGTCAAACCAAAAAATCTCAATTGATACCACCAATACTATACAAATCAGAATTTTTAAACTAAAAAATCAGATTTTATAATGATTCTAATAATCACAAATGAAATTAATCCCATCAATAGTATACAAATGAAAAATAATTACGAATCAAAATCAGGTTTTATAATAATTCTAATAATTAGAAATAAAATTATTCCCATCAAAATACTATACAAATCAGATTTTGTAATTTTACTAGAGAATATTCTTAAAGATTTATTATTTCTCATGATAATAAATGATAATATTTACATGCATACAAGATAAACCTGTAATATCTTATTTAATTAGCATAGATATTTAAAGTATAGGAATGGAATAAAATCTATTAGACATCGTTACATAATATTGTAAAATATTCTTTTCTATCTTCTAAATATTTTTTATTTTATTAATTTATTTATACATACTTTCTTTACTTTTTTTCGAATATTCTTTCCTAATAACACAAAGATCAGTGTTTATAGACAAAAAATAAGAAAAATTAAGTAAGGTAAATTTTCCTTATTTTATCTATAAATACTAAATTTGCAAAACATTCGGGATTATTCTTTCATAATAACACAAATGTCATTATTTATAAACAAAAATAAGGAAAATTGAGTTCGGTGAAATTTTCTAATTTTAGAATTAGAATCTTTCATATTTTTGTCTAGTGACATGATTGTCAAGATTTTACAATTAGAACTTTCCTTATTTTTGTCTATAAATACAGAATTTTTGTGTTTCAAAGGCCATGTAGTGGTTTGAATATTAGAATTTTGCTATAAAAAAAAAAACTCTCCCCTGCCCTTTGATATTAAGAAAAAAAAATGGGGAAAACCCTAGTAAGTATAATGATATTACTGAACGTGATGAGTGCGGTGTCGGCGCTGCCGCTATACAAACGATTCAACATCAACATTCTGAATGCTTTGGACCGCGGCGGTCCGTTGAAGGTCCACTGCCGTGATCTTGCCGGAAGAGACGACAAGCCTTACGTATTCCTCGACAAGAGATTGCAGACCTACAACTTGGGCTTCGTCGTCAACCCGGACTTGATCTACCAGTGCGAGATTTGGATGGTACATGCACCCATTTTCTCTCTTTCATTTCGTTTTTTTTTCTATTATATATATATATATATGTATAGTACTATATTCATCTATTCTTGAGACCATTTTTGGTTGAAAATCTCTTATCAAACTCACGATAATTCATATATATATATATACACAGTGGCGGACCTCCATATAAATATATGAGATCATCTATCATTGTTCAACCAATTAAAAGATTTTATTTTTTATACAAATATTGTAAATTTTTGAATAAAATTATAAAATTCCCATAAAATTAAGTTTACTCCAAATTATGTATTTTTCTTGATTCGCCTATATATATACATTTTATTTTTATCAAGTTCACGATCACGCATATATATATATATATATGAATATATGTATATATATGCAGTCTATTATTATCAAGTTCACAATCATTCATATATATATATATATAAATTGGTGTATGTATATGTATATGTTGCAGCCATCTACGGATCCACAGCAGCCACAACACCATGTGAGATGGAACGCATTCGTGGCGGACGACGCGTGGTTTAGGGGTCTCTGCGGAAGTGAGACGCCGAACGAATGCAGATGGGCCGCCAAAAATGACGGAATCTATGTCCGAGACAACCCCACCGGCCATTACAGGCTCATTTACAAGTGGGACGTTAACTTTGTGAAATAAAACCCTAGTTCTTTCTTTTTCTTATTCTTATATCCAAAAAAAACAATTAATTATTTATTGCTTTTGTAGTAAACAGGCAGCCAGTAATAAAACATATTATAACATTGTTACTTGTAGTTTCACTTCATTTTCTTCAAAACCATTAATACCGAAAAAATATAAAAACTCACTCAAGACTGCACCTTACATTGAAATACAGGAAGTGGTATAGGTTAGGTAGATCACGGTCTAGAGATCGATGCATGTATAAGAGATGGTACACATATATATATATATATATAAAGATTTTGTATATACTTGCGTATATTTTTGTTTTATGGATCATAATGAATTTGGTGGGATACTAAAGATTTTGTATACTTGCCTATATATATAATTTCCGGATCTAAATTCTTGAAAACTTAACCCTTTTTTGTCATGTTTCCATACCAATATTATATGGATAATTAGCATTAGGGGTGACCATTTTGGTTATTAACCGAATAACCTAATCAAACCGAATAAGACATAACTATATACCCAAACCGAACCGACATCAAAACCGAACGGTTCTGAATTCTTTAAACCCGAAAAAATCAAAACCGAACCGAATAAAAAAATAACTGAAAAAACTGATATATAAATGTTATGATTGATCCATTCTTTCCAGTGTCGTTCTTACCAACAGTTCATATCTAAATGTTATAATTGGGGGCAATAGTAAATTTACTATAAAAATTTATAATTGAGGGAAATTATCAATTTACTAAAGTTTTTAGAATTTATTATGCGGACATTTAATAAATTTATCTAAAAATTTATAAATTTATAAAGAAGTTAATGTTTTTTTAATTAAAATAATGGGGTCCCTCCATGATTAATAAAACTCTAACGATGGAATACTTACAATTTTTGTGCACCATTAACGAAATGAAAACCAAACTGACAAGTTCAAACGACAAATCCACATAGTAAATCATCCAAAAGTCAAACTGAAACAAATAAAACACGAAACTAGACAAAAAAAAAAAAACTGTCAATGCCACATCCGTCGCCCGTGAACCGCCGGCCCGAATTCCGGGACAAAACCCTGCGGCTGACCCACCGGCGGATAAGGTGGCGG